CGGAGGGGCGGCCGCTCGGTGCGATGGGGAGCAGCGACAGGCAGTGCTGACCCTCCCCGCCGGCCGGGTGGTGGCGGCTCCCGGGCCAGCCTGTCCCGCACAGGTAGGTGCCGGAGACAGAAGCCTCCAGATGTATGGACAGTGCTGGCGAGCCGGGGGAGGGAGAGAACGCATGAGACCGAGTGAGCCGTGCATAGGAAAGTTTCCGTCAGCCCCCTGCACGTAGCTCTCCGGGCTGTTGTTACACACCGCGGTTATCTAGAAAGGCACGGAGTCACGAGCGCACACTCACCCGCTCACTCACCTGACTTTTGAAACACTTTGCTTGGGGCAAGATGCGAAAGAAACATCTCACCACTCATTCCTTCCTGCCGAGTGTCTCTCGCTGGCCAGGGGACCCTGGAGTCCCAGGGTGCAGATCTCCTGGGGCATTTCCCTCGGTCCCGGCGAATTTGCACAGCGACAAGTAAGCGGAGACACGCTCCATCCGCTGCTGGCTTCCAGCACCCCCTGCGAAGCCGGACCTCTGCATTGCTGAAGCGTCACGGGGCAAAGACGTTAAAGACTGCAAAAAACCCAACAACAAGGTGGTCAGAATGAGGTTTTGCTGCTGGCCAGCCGGGAGAATGCTGTTAGAGACCCCGATCCTGCCCTGCTTTAGCTTTCTGGCCGGGAAGTAACCGCACTCACGTCCGTGGAGGTTTGAAGATTGGGAATAGCACAAGATCTTCCCGGAGCCCGTAACCCCAGGAGTTACAGTGACCCTCTGTTTGCCCCTAAGCAATACCGCTTGCTCTGTTCCAAGGCACAGAACTGGGTTCTAAACTTCATCTGCCAAAAAAATTGAATCGTGATATACTTAAATAGATCAAGTAAATCAAATTCATTTTGTTAGATAGAAAAATGCACCCAAGTTGAGTAATAAATATTAATGATGCCCGATTTGCCACCTCCTTACTTATGTAAAGAAGGCTGTCATTCCAATTACTCATTATAAATTCACGTTGTCCAAATATGGATTTATTTTTGTAACTTTGATATTTGATGGATTTTCATGGATTTTGGAATGGATTGAATCTGGTTCCCACTCCCCTGCTTTCACCCACCTGAAGCTAAAATGTCTAGAATGAGAAATTATGTTACAGACAGCGTAAATGTAATTATATATCGGCGGCTAAAAAGTCTGTCCCCAGTAAAACAGGCTGAGGGGGTCATCGGATTTTGCAAGTTGTGCCATGACTCAGAATCCTAAAAGCTGCCGTTATAATTAACAAAATACCAAGGGGGTTGTTTAAGATAATTTTCAATAATCCTCTTATTCGCCCCCCCCCCCAAGGTTGCCCCCAATCCAGGTCAGAATGCTTAAGGAGTGCTTGAAATGTGGGGGTGGGGGGTGCCAAAAGAGAGATCGCCCAGCCACGCCAAGGTCCACCCACTTCTCAGAGCTGCTCTATAAAAGCGAGCAGTGGAGCGCAGAGCTCGGCAGTGATTACTTCACACACACACACACACACACACACAAAGGAGGAGTTCTCGCTCCTCAGGAAACCCTGCAAGCTCGGATCGCTACTACAAAAACATTTGTCTCAGTGGATTATCCTCACTGTCAGGTAAGAACTATTTTTATTTTTTTTTCCCCGTCCTTGGCAACAACTATAGATTCAGGGGAGGTGGAACGCAAGTAAAATTCTACTAAATTTGGACTGTTTTGAAGAGTTTGGAGTTATGCTGTGGAGTCTTGCACTGGCTCTTGGCATCAGCTGCAGTTTACAACATAAGATCCAGAACTAGCTGGTTCTGCGTGTGAAGTGGGAAGAGGAGCTATCAGAGAATAAATTTCCCGGTAGCAAAACACTTGCTGGAGTTTGGAAACGATGCATCCGATAGCCAGCTCTCTCTGATCTCACGGGTTTGCTAAATCCTAGTGCAAGCCGCTGGGGGTACTCTGGAAATCCTGTTGGTTTTCAGCCGCCTCTGCAACTAAACTCTCGACAAACGTAAACTTTGGAGGCTCTGTTATTTACTCTGTGATAAGTTGCTGAGCAAATATTAGCTTCTGGTTCATATCAGACACAAAGTTCCCGCTAGCCTGGGGGCTCTGCGAGGGAAGGAACTCCTCTCTGGAATCACCAGGAGTAAAAGGCAGTCCTTACTTGACTTTTATTAGCAAGCATGCTTATAGTTCTTCTCTTTTCCCTCCAGCAGGAGCCCAGCCAGAATGAAACTAGTTCACGTAGCCCTGCTCTATCTCGGCTCTGTGACCTTCTTCGGGGTGGATGCTGCAAGGGTGGACGTAGCGACAGAGTTCAAAAGAAAGTGAGTATCGGAGCTCACCCTCCTGCCAGCGCCCCGCGCCTGGCTCCGGCCGCGATCAGAGGCACTGGATTCCCTGCGGGAATTGCTCAGCTCCTTAAAGGCCTCCTGCCCCTTCAGGAAACATTGCGGGGAGGGAAAAAAAAAATTAAAAAATTAAAAAAAAAAATCTCGGCGCTGGCAAAGATTTTCGCCCCTCGAATCTATTTGGTTTGGCTCCCGCCCTGCAGACTTGCGATAACAGGCTCTCCTCTTCTCTTGTGCTCCTTCCAGATGGACGAAATGGGCACTAAGCCGAGCCAAGCGGGACGTGAAGCCTGCGAGCGTGCTCCGAGCGCTGGGGGCAGCAGCCGACGCGCTGCCTCTCATACGCACTCAGGACGTGAAGGAGGATTCCCGAGTCTCGCCTCCCAGGTAAATTCCAGCCCTTCCTAGGCTCGGGCACTTGCTCGAGGCAGTGGAAAGTTTCGGGGTCCCCTCGTTTCCGGGTGTTTAGGGTTATTCTCGCTGTAGATCCTCCCCGCCCCAGAGGCAGGTCCTGCCCGGGCTGCACATCGCGCTGAAAGCAGCCTCCCGCCTTCCTTTCTCCGCGCTCTTTAGCTGGCGGGAGATAGCAGCGCCTTCGCTGCTAAAGTCAGATATAAATAGTAACTTGAGCCCTGGTTGCATAGGAAAAGTAACAGCCGTGAACCGGCGGGGCCTCTCCTCGCATGGGCAGCACTCTCTGCTCCGCGCCCCCTCGGAGGGCACAGCCAGGGCTGCTGGGGGGCAGCTGGGCACTGTCGGGACGAGCCCATCTCCAGCCTGGGGGCTCCCTGCCCTCCCCTTCCCTCGCTCATCGGCTCCCCTCCTCCGGGCCTCCACCGCGCTCTTCTCACGCCCGCTCTCTCTCTTCCCGCAGCAACCGGGAGGATGCTCACATCCGCGTCAAGCGCTACCGCCAGAGCATTAACAGATTCCCCCACTTCCAAACAAAGGCGTGCCGCTTCGGGACGTGCACGGTGCATTGGCTGGTCGACGAGCTCCACAGGGCGGCCGTCAACGACAGGAACGATGCCGCCCCCCCCAACAAGATCAGCCCCCAGGGCTA